CGACGAATTGAAGCTCAGTAGGAACCAATGTCTTTTTTTCAAAATTATGCTATTACGATGACTTCAAATCAGGAAGCAAACAACCCAAATGCTGGGGTGCAGAATTTGTTTCAGCCAAGGTGAGGGGATATCACTCCCTTGATAACATAAAAGCTCCAATGTCGAGTCTCCAAAATAAGTGTTGATGCCTCACCATTGACGGAAATTGTCTCAAATCTGTTTTACAAATGCACAAGTCACCAAGCAGTGGTTGATTATCTCTGACAATTCCCCACATCTTGGACAAAGATAGTGTCTAAATCCATGCCCCTACTGTCCAAAGCAACGCGCATGTGGAGCGTACTGTATAATTGTACACCACCCAAATATATTAATCTTAATCGGTATGAAATTGTTCCACCGGTTTTTTGGGTTAGATTCATCCATTGCATGACATTTGTCTTCAACTAAAGTTTTCATCTTTCTGAACGAGAATCTCCCATTTTCATCTAAACCTCGTCACAACTTATCCTTGTGATTAGCAAAAGGATGCGAATGTTGTAATAAGATGATCATGTTTGAAAACTCAATGTAAAGCCATACCCCTTGGAGCACTAGTCCAACCCCAACCCAATCCAACCCAACCTAACCTAACCTAATATAACCTTAACGGTTTTTCGCCCAACAACCTCTATCTTTCACCTTAAGCTCTCGGTTATTATTCTAAACAAAAAACCTAGAGGAGAGGTCAAACAGACAGACGATAACTACCTTCCCAATTTTCATGCAGGGACTTAATTGATGACACATTCACCAATATTTTTGGTGGAAGAAAAGGTGAAGCCTAAGAGTCGTACAAAGGGTAACATGATTTTTTCATTTTTCAATTTTTCATTTGTTTAAAAAATAAAGATAATATATATATATATAGAGAGAGATAAATTTTAATTTATTTCTCCGGCCACAAAAACCCCAAATCAAAATCTCAGGGTGTGTTTGGTTTGTAGAATGAAATTTGATGGAATTGGAATTCATCAAATAAATTTGACTTTGAGGAAATGAAATGAAATTTGATGGAATTTAACCATGTCTTTTGATTGCGTTTGGTTGGATGGAATTGGAATGGAATTCTTAACGGAATTGAATTTTTTTTTGTTTCGTTCACAAAATTCAACGAGAAAATTACATAGATGCATTTCGAGAAAATCTTTTTTAGGATGGAAAGAACGAGAGAGAGGGAGAGAGAGAGAGGCCGAGCATACCAGATCAAGCAGTTTTGAATAGGGATGGCAAAGAAAAAAAACCAAAACCGATGGTGAAAGCCGAAAACCGAAACTTTCAGGCCGGGTTCGGGGACATCTTATCGAGGATGGGGCGGGGATCGGGGACAAATTCAGGGATTTTAACGGGGGCGGGGACGGTGACCATCAGCCCGGTCCGACATAATATTTGTATATATATTAGTTTTAATTTATATACATACATACATACACACACACACACATATATATATATATAATATCATTAAAAGAAAATAGTAACATTAATATTTAAAAAAAAATTATCCACTTTACTTCAAGAACCCAAATAAGGCTCACGAAAAAAAGTAATTTATTTGTCTAATTGTGAAATCGTAATTTTAGTTGTATGATGTTTGAAGTTCTGTTTAGTTTTATATTATAATCTAATACATTATTTGTAATTGGTTCGATTATGTTTAAGGCATTTAAACTTGCATCTTTAAAAATATTGTAATTTACTTTTAGTTGTGAAAATTAACATATTGTAATTTTTTTAGATCTGTTTCGTGTTTCGGGTTCGGGTTCGGTTATAACCAACGGTGAACGGGAAAAAAAGGATTTTTACCTTAACAAGTTCCCCAACCGGGATCGGGGAAACCGCGGGAACCCGATAAGATCCCCGACGGGGATCGGGGCGGTCACGGGGACGGTTTTAATTATCGGTTTCGGGGACGGGGATACCAATAACCGGCCCGAACCTGACCCGTTGCCATTATTAGTTTTAAACGAGATCGAGTAAGGGAGATCGAGCATAGCAGAACAGAGCAAATCGAGATATAACGTCGATTAATGGATGAGGGCTAAGGAATTTGTTGGATTGGAAATTGAAATCTGTGGTATATGCGGTGGAATTGTGAAATCAATAACTTAAGGAATTTGTTGGAATTGGAAGATTCCTTCACATCAATTATGTGAACCAAACGCTCTATTTGGAATTTGGTCAAATGATTGGATATTCCAATTCGTTTCAATTCCACCAAATTCCATGATCCAAACAATCCCTCGGTCTCACTCAAATAACTTCAAACCAACCTGAAAAAACAACACAAAATCATATTGAGCAAATTTAATCTTATTTCTGAAAACGAAACCATCTCTATTCGTTCCACCAACTTTCTAAGAGAATTAAGTTGCAGGGAGAGGATATGGACGCTTCCCCCTTGTGCAAATGTATACACAACTTGAACCCTTACGTGGTACGAGGTCGACCGTAAGAGGGTTTGGATTGGAACTCTTGATCGAAGATGTGAAATTAAAATCGAACCCATCTTCATTCAGAAACATATTCAAGATTCGAACCATGTCTGATCAGTATGGCAGGAATATGGGTTTGAAGGTTTCATGCTTTTGGAGATGGAGATGTATGTTCGATGGAGGTGGGTTTGATGGGTCCATCTCCTTCTCTCTCTAAATCCTTCGTTGTCCCCATGGAAATGTTTGATTTCGATAGAGATGGTTTTGAAAAATACATATGGTGTGTTTTGGTGTTTTTGGCAATGATATGTAAGAAGGTGGATGCTGATAGCCACTACAACCATCGTTATTTTGAGTTTGCTTCAATTTGGTGAGGTTGGGTGGACACATGACACCACAGTGCTTCAAACTGTTTATTTAATGAATCTATCTTTTATTTAACATAGTTAAATAAGAGATAATCTTCATAACATCTTGCTCTGAAGTTTTAAATATAAAAAAAATGAATCTTACAAAAATGAACATGATCTCAAGTCTAATTAAAAATCCCTAAACTTTAGTAAAGATTTGTAAGTATTTTGTTTAGAAATTCAACACAAAATTTTCATATAAATATAAGGATGAAATTTATAATCTGTTCTTGAAAATATGTGGAGCAACAAAATAACTAATAAAATAAAAAGTCACAAGTAGATGTAATCATGGTGGTAGTTAAGATAAGCAGCACACGTGGCAAAATGGGGTTGAACATCAGTTTTCAACCTTTTTTTTGTCTCTTCATATTTCTCAACTTTATTCTTACATAAATAAGTTTCAAATATAAACATTAAATTTACATGTTTTTTTTTAAATGGCTTATTCTTCTTGAGAGGTTTAAAATCGTGCAATGCGGCAGGAGTCATGAATTTTAATAATTTTAAAGTTTCATTGGTTTTATAAGATAAGATTTAACGATGATATAGGTTACACTTGGTTTTTACATATTAATACAATTTGAATAAATAAGAGTTATGGTTCCAATCACATACTATCGATGAAAAAAAATTGTATGACAGTTTAAAATCCAATATATTTAAAATCCAATATATTTAAAATCCAACATATTTAAACGACTCCACAAATGTGTTCGATTTACACCAAGAGCAAAGAACCAAGAAACTTGAGTTTTAAGATAAACACTTAAAACCAATAAAGAAAACTACAAATTTGACAGATCATAAGCCATGAAAAGACCAAAAAAGATGGGTTTTAGAATGAAATTTCAACTGTTTACCTTCTTTTTTGTCCAGAAACTCAGATTAAAGTTGAATTAATATATGTATATATATATATATTTCAAAAAAAACCCAAGAACATATTAATTCATAACATATTATAAAGTGTAATTTGGACAGTCTAACCTCAAAATATATAGTATATATATAAATAAATAACTATAAAAGTATAATTCGTAAATATTAAAAATATTTTTTCACAATATATATAATATATAATAATATAATTAAGTCAAAAATTATTCAATATTGGACTCATTTCGAAGGTATTAACGAGATGATTATAATGATGTAACTTGTTAAAATAAAAATGTATATTTTAAACATGTTTTAATTGATATACAATTATGTATGTTAATTTGATAAATGTTTAAAATGAAATATTTAAAAGTAAATGACGTAAAGTAAATTAATTAACTAATTATAAGGGTATAAAGTGTAGATTTAAAATTATAATTTAAAAAAAAATCCGTTTAATGTGAGAAGGTGAGTGTATGTGAGGGGGTGAGTGTATGTGAGGAAAGGAAGGGGTGAAAAAGTGAGATATTATAGATAAAAGTATCTTGGTCATTTAGTATTTTAAGACTTTTGTTAAATTTGCTTTATAAGATAGTATAGATAACATCTTTTTGAAATGTTTTAAAAAGAAAATGAAAGCTACAAATTCTACATGATGCAGAAAACGAATCTATACACGACAAAAAGAGAGCTATAAGACACTTCAAGTAAACCCGATGAAATGGACATGACGAAAAACAAACACGGCCAACCAAAACCAACAATTAGTCACACCAAAGGTAAACCTAGCTAACGTATGGTCGTCATTGAAACCTTAGCATGCTTCCATTATCAATGTAATATTAATCAATTTAAAATTAATTTTGCGATCAAAGTATCCATACAAACTCAAATTTGACTCGAGACTTTTCAGAAGAATGCTACAATTGTAATTGGATTTTTAAAATGAAAATGTTGTAATTAATCAAATAAAAATGAAAATGCAATGAATTACTGTTTCATTAAAGTAAAAGGTAATTTCATGTCAAACTTTTAGAAGAAAAAAGAGATTTTCGTATCTATATTTATTTATTTATAGGAAAAAGAGTATTTAATAAACTTAATTATATATTGGGGGACTATATATACCAATTTATTTGTTTACCCTGTCATAATAATATCCATGGTGAGTGGTTAGGGTTCATCTTCATCATCATTTCGATAAAAACAGATAAAGCTCCCAAGAAAATTAACAATGGAGAATGAGAATAAATCAAGATTCAAAAGGGTTTGTGTGTTTTGTGGAAGTAGTTCTGGGAAAAGAGATGTCTATGGAGATGCTGCCATTGAGTTGGCTCAAGAACTGGTATGACTTGTTCCATGCAAAACACACACACACATATATACATACATATTGCTTCACTGTAGATTCTTTAAATAATAATAAGAAACACACATATATGTACGTATGAGGGCGGTTTCTTATTATTCATATTATGTTTTTAGAATCTAATCTTCAATCTTCTAAACCAAAACCCTAATGGGGGCACTTGCATTTTGATTCACATTGGTTGTTTAGATGTAGTTTGGTAATCGAATAGTGATCATTGAAAAAGAAAATCTTGAATATATATATATATATACATATATATGTATGTATGTATGTTTGTACGTATATGTGTGTGTGTAATTAGAGAAGTCTAATGTCAAAATGAGGTGTCTTTTTAACTTCAAAAATCAGAATAGTTTTTGAAAGTATCCATATATAATTTGAATATAATGTATATCCCTTTAGAGTAAAGATGAGTCATTTTGGCCTCAAAAATCAAAATGCATGTACGATACAGAAAAATCTTGAATATATGTGAGACACATACATATATACATGTATAAATGATAGAGATAAATACATATACACATAAATTCATGTATGTTTGTGTGTCGAAGTAAAGATTAATAACCCGGCTTGATTTTGCTATATTTGATTTATGTATGAGCACAAGCCATCTGTTTTATAAAGTTTAAGTACTAAATCTTTCAGAAATATATGTATATATATATATATATATATCTAAATGTGATTGTATAGTGTGTATAATAGTATTAAAGATGAATATTTAGCTTTAAATAAGTTCACATGTCATAAAATACTTTAAAAACTTGTAAATGAAGATAAATAATTCTTATTTCACATAAAAAGATTCATAATTTAGGATTAGATGGTATATATTATTATTATTAATTAATAATTCATCTGTTCTTAAATCTTAATATATGCTTGAAGGTAGCAAAGAAGCTTGATCTTGTGTATGGAGGGGGAAGCATTGGCTTAATGGGTTTAGTTTCTCAAGCTGTTCACTGTGGTGGTGGTCATGTTCTTGGGTATTTATTATTTATTTTCCTTTTTTCAGATTCAGATATATTTTCTGAAAGAAAATGAGAAACATTCTAAAAGAAATGCTTTTTTGGCAGGATCATACCAAGGGCTTTGATGGGGAAGGAGGTAATAATGCAATAATATAATTTAACTTTTTTTTAAAAAGTTAATAACAATATTTTTTGAATTGTTGTTTTGATATTTATTTACAATAATAATATTGCACAGAAAACTGGTGAAAGCATAGGTGAAGTTAAAGCTGTTGCTGACATGCACGAAAGGAAAGCTGAGATGGCCCGCAACTCCGATTGTTTCATTGCACTACCAGGTCTTTTCATCTTGAATCATCATTGTACAACTCTTTAAAGCACAACATGCTTACAACGTACAACTATTAAAAGCTGCAGGTGGATATGGTACTCTTGAGGAGTTACTTGAAGTCATTACTTGGGCACAACTTGGAATCCATGACAAACCTGTAAATCTTGCTGTTAACTTCTTGACTTTTTAAACCTTTCTCCAAACAAGAAGTTTCTAAATCCAGACCAAAACCCGCAATGATTGCTTGTACTTTATGGAAAAAAACTTGGTTCTTTGACGTGGATTTAGGATTTTTGGATGTTGAAAAGGGTAAAACTTGTTGAAAATGATTGAATTTTTTATTTTTTTTTGGTGGAAATGGTGATTTACAGGTGGGTTTACTGAACGTTGATGGGTACTACAACTATCTGCTCACATTCATCGATAAAGCAGTAGATGATGGATTTATCAAACCTTCTCAACGTCACATCTTTGTCTCTGCACCAAATGCCAAAGAACTTGTTCAGAAACTCGAGGTTTGTGTGTTATCATCATCATCCTCATGGATCATGCATGCATGTTATATTCGTACAACTCTTTTATGCAGCAGATAGGTTTTAAAGAGTGTGTTACGTGTATATATATATGTAGTTATGTATATATAAGTTGCACTTCCAACTCCTCATATCATATGCTTCCATTGATTGCTTTTTGAATCAAAAAAGATTGGTTTTGGTAATGAAAAGTAATCTACTTTTTTCATTACAACTTTCAAGGCAAATGATGATTACAAATCTTTAAGGTTGGTTCTACTTTTTGCAGTAATCGTTTTCAAGTTCAATCATCATCTTTTCATTGGAATGAGCTTCGTTGATCAAGGGGTAAAAATGTAAAAGTGGTACTAGTTTAGGGGGTTAAGTGAAAAAAGTGTCTGGTCAGGGGTTAGGAAGCCAATAATTGATGAAATGTTTGATAGAAATAGGAAACACTACAAAATGGGTATGCAGTGATAAAGAATCTTACAATCTCTTTTTGTTGTTTTGTTTTCGTCTGTATCTAATTGTCATAATAAACGTTTTTTGTGGTCTTTTTGTAAATTTGAAAAACATTGGGGGGACCAGGAGTACATCCCTGTAAAAGATGGAGTGATTCCTCAGGTCAAGTGGGAGGTGGAGCAGGTTGGGTTCAATGCTTTACATGCTTCTGCTGAAATTGCTTTGTAGTCAGGAACAAGGTTTACTTTCTGAAGGGGGTTTTTGAAGATTATATAACTACGTATATATATATATATATATATATATATATATATAGTTATATATATATATATATAGTTATATATATATAAAATATGTTTTTGGTTTGGGATGCATTAAGTTGTTGTATGGTACAACTAAGTAACGTAATTAAGAGTTGTACTGTATGAATACTTGATGTACAATTACAATCATGCTATAATGATTTGTACTTTATATTCTGAAAGTTGTATTCGTAATCTTTGCATGAAAGAATGTGAGATGTTTCTCGTTATCGTTATTGTGTTTGTAAAACGTATGCTAAAAAAAAAGATTTGATGATAGTTCCGAGCAAACCGGTTAATTGATAAGGATTGGTTCTTGCCAGGTTCTTTTGTAACTATACTGATCATGATTCTTAACCAATTCTCTTGGTGTAATCGGTTATGACTACTCTGGCATTCGGTTCCTAAGACCTTGATCTTTTTAGTTGGATTTTACTTTTATTATTATTTTTAAATTAGTTAATTAATATTCTAAATGGTCTTGCCTTTTACCAACTTATTTTAAAAGTACTTTATGTACTCGTTAAAAAGAAAGTGTACTCTTTGCTAATTAAAATTGTGACTGGTCTTCGATAGCTGATTTACATTCAAAAAATTGTTACGGGTCATGGGTCTCTAGTAACCGGTCTAGGTCCTAGGCCTGAGTCGTTCCCAATCTTGGTGGTAGGGGTGCTCACGGTCCGGGTTGATCGGTTTGGAGCCGTTTTAACAACTCAACCCAATGTAGGCGGTTTGAAAATTTTCAACCTAACCCAACCCAAACAAAAGTTCAACCCAACCCAACCCGTTCGGGTTGATCGGGTTGTGTTTAAACAATTTAAAATCACATAAAAATAAAGGAAACTTTCCTTTGATATACGACCGACCGGCGACCATTCAAGATAATATGCAAGTTCATCAAATATTTAGATATTACAATAAAAATGTTTAAACCAAATGATAATACATCAATCAACAACAATAGTTTTAGACGTTTCCAATCCCGATGCTTTCGCTTTCTTGACGTTGAGGTTAGTCATGTCATGATTGTCATCTACAATTCAAAGCTAAAGTTAAGGTCGGGTTCATCGGGTTGTCAGGTTGGTCGGGTTTTTTTGGGCCTGACTCGATTCCAACCCAATAAGGTCGGCTTGGCTAATTTTTTTATCGATCATGCATCGGGTTACCTCGGGTTGGGTTTTTTTTAAAAAAATTGGGTTGGGTTGGTGGGGTTCATCGGGTTTTTGAGCACCCCTACTTGGTAGTGTTAGGAGGTGTTTGGTTTGACACAATGATATTGAATGATTTCGATTTTGTAGAGGAATTTGGAATTGGAGTGATTTGGATTTGAAAGGATATTGATACGGGGTAATCAATGTAGTTGCCTCGATAGATCTCCAATGTTTCTAATGTGTTATAACTGTGGGCATTGGGTAATCTCCTATTAATATCACTCTTACGTGATGGCTATCATTAATCTATCCTATTGTAAAACCATGCATTGACATATGATAGTAAATATGTCTGCAATGGTAAGTACGTTAAACTTGCATTCATACTGAGAACATGTAGTACCATATTGTTCCTTGAAGCAATTAGAACGCCTATTTCAGGGATACTCATTCAGTGCTAAAGTGGTGCAACCTCATCCTTTTGAAAGAAAGATCGATGACTCGTAAACATGTATGTATTGGTGGGAAAACATATGCGAGTAGAATTCTTGATAGTTGACTAATTCAAGCATCAACTCATTTGTGAATAGTGTCTTAATCTTCTTCATCTCCATCCAAACAAATAGATATCGCCTGGAATCCCACAATTTCCATCGCCTATTACATCTTGTGTATGCATGATGTACGAATGTAATATCCTGGAATTGATAGATATATGGATGTGAAGTGGTAAATTGTTGCTGATAATAGGAACTATGCCTCGTTGACTTTTGGTGCTCATTGTTAGTGTATATTATTCGCTTAGCCCACTTGTACTTAGATCTTTATACGTAGTCCAACCCATTGTAATGTATTTTGATATATAACCCTTGTAACTCCCATTATTCAATAAGGAAAATCATTTCATGTATTATTCATAACTTCAAAGTTGATAACTTTAGATGCGTTGGAATAATTACGTCTACGAGGTCTTTAAGAAACTAGTCAATTTCCCCCCCTAAGAACTTGATCTTTCAAGGATGGTCGCTCAAGAGTGGATCTACTAACAACAGGTTCACAAACCAAAGTTTTAGATTGCGTGATTATATCCTTCAACTTCCTCATTAAATTTGCTGACTGCCTGTTGAATTTTTCTCCAAACATTTGAACGTTCTCCTTATATTGAAAGTCGTCATTATTTAGAGATACAAAGCGAGGATTTTTTTTTCCTAAAATATATTTACCACATCAAGTGAAATGGTTCTCCTTGACATAAATATGGTGCTTGTCATGTGCACATGAAAACCCATAACCTGTAAACAATTTACAACCACAATTTTCAGAAAATATGCTAACACTGTAATACCGCTTACATTCATTGAAAATTAAGTCAAGTGCATAGATTAAAACTAAAATCCAAATTTTTTGACAGTGCGGTCTGTCAAATCGATATCTCTTGACAATTTTGCTTTGTTCAAAACTTGATTTGATTGATGTGTCTTGCGCTTTAATTACCCAATGAATATAAGAGATTTTTTTATTTAATTTTTCTTGTGAGGCCTCCAAGTATGATTTTAACTTAGAATGTTGACTTTTGATAAGAGCTTGTTATACCCCAATGGACATATGATAAGAGGAACCACAAAACAAGTATACAATATGGTCAAATATCGTCTTTCAAGTAACGAAGTGGTAAAGTATTGATTATCGTCTGCGAAGATTGTAGTAAAAGCTTGATAAAAGTCTAATGAAGTAAATAATTTCAGATGATGATTTCAAAGACTTCAAAATTCTAGCAGACATTGTTATAGCAATATTACATCATGTAGTCAGTCATAACTAGTTCCACCATCTATTTTCTGGGTATTCCTCTCAGACTTCAACCATTGCACTAATGTTTTAGTTTTCAACTCATATCTCTATATGGTACCAGGACCCATGGTAGTACGAAATGGTGTTCTCAAAATATATTGATAAAGAAATTTCTTTGTTAAAAATCATACCATTGAGCCGATTTCCATATCATCCAAGTTTATGTGTTCAAAGTGGCTCATCTCTGAGTTCACTACACTTTAACAAGTGATCAACCCATCGAGAATTTATCAGTTTGAAAAACATAAACAAGAAATTTCTTTGTTAGCAATTTTTTCAAGTCTATTTCTCATATCATTTAAATTGATGTGGATTCGGTGGCTTATCTCTAAGACCACGACACCTTAACACTTTCAAAGTGATTAATGTCAAGAAGTGTCATTGTTTTTATAAAATTTGAAATAAAATAGTGGAACGTTGTTATTGGAAAACAACGCCCACTTTTCTTTGGTTTAAAATCTCACTGTTTGTCTCACACCCAAGTTAATGGAATTAACTACTCATGAAAGCAAATTGCAAGAAAAGTAAAGACGTGAATTTAAATGACTGAATGTAAAGAGCAAAAAATAAATTAGAAAGAAAGTAAAGACAACAATGTAATGTTACAGCAATGAAATGTAAAGTGCAAGCATTAGAAGAAGTAGAGAATCAACTTTAATTTTTAAGAGCTAAATCATACGTAAACTGATTGGAATGATCAAACAAAAGACCTATACACCTCTATCTATACAAGATAGAGAGGAGAAAATGACGAAATCCAAATAGGTGCCAAAGTACAATTAATGGAAACATGACAAGCACAAAAGTTGCGGTCCTCTAGAATCTTCCCAATAGTCATCAAACATGATTTTTAGGTTACGAAAGCTTGTCCTCTTGTTTGTTTTAGCGATTGGTCCAAAAAGTTCTCCAAAAAGCTTAATCTAAGCATATTACTACTACTGCATGGATGTTATAGCATAAAACAGCCTGTACATAAGCTTAAGTTAGCAATATTCCATTGGTGCAAAAACATGTAAATTACTTAATTTAGCTCCATGAAACAACAAATGGAAAATAACATGGTAAAATGAACTCTGGTTGGGATGAAAGATAAATAAGCTACCTAAAAAGTAAAGAAACAAGTGCTTTATACATTGAATAATTAATGTATATCGACTTTCAACTCTATTTGTTGTGTGATTTCCAAAGTTTAGATATTCATCAACCTAAGCGATTACAAACATCTCCTTATACGGTGTCAACCGTATGTTACTGGAAACACCTGAAAAGGTCAACAAACTTATGTCAATATTATGAGTAATGAACGTCATAACTTTACTAAAAACATATATCTACAATACCTGGGTTGTTGCTCCAATATGCTTCAAGTTGTGCCAAATTGTATGTAATATCATTTTGGAGTTTGAGATTTAAGTAATTGTTGCTATGCAAGGTAAAAGGAATCCACGATTGATGATCGTGTATCGATGGTTTACAATTTCACAAAATATTTTAATAAATGTGACATTTATAAAGTAAATAATTTGGTATATGGAGAAACCACTTTGCATGCAGTAATCAAAACCAATTTTTTATCTCTGGCTATGACTATGACTATGACGCCTGAGAAAATGCAATCATGTATTTTGGACTTTAGACACTCTAATGCCGCAAGTATAATTTGATTCATTTTCTTGACGAACACAATCGGTTGAGTGTCCCAAATTACGCACCCACTCTGTTAAATCTTCTCGAGAAGTAAGTAGCTTAAATAGATTTTTTTTGCTTGAACTTTAATTTTTTATTTTCACAAATATCAATAATATAAAATAGAAGAATTCTGATTGTTGGTATCAAATTTTCTCCATACCATTTGCATATTTGATGATCAAAGAGTGATGAAATAAAAGTGTCTATAAACTGAAGGTAGATAGAAATCATAGAGGAGAAAAATGAAAGAAGATATAAACGAAAACAAATGAAATATTTCGAATAACTTTTTTATTCTTCGAATCAATAAGTTTAAAATTTGATGTATCAAATAATGGAGAATATAATAAACGTGTATGTATAGATTCAAAGAAAAAAATACAAGAAAAAATAACTGATTTCATTTCGATAATATATCCAAATTAACTTAAACGCAGATTTATATTTTGTTGGAAAAATACAAGAGGGGGCATGAAAATGCAGACATAAGGGTGCGTTTGGTACGTTGGACAAGGTGGGACAGGACAGGACAGAATACAATTGTCCTATGTTTGGTGTGGTTTTATGTGGGACTAACTAGAACAAACTAGAACAAGGGTGGGACAAGATTGTCCACCCTTTACCCATGGAACTAAGTAGAACAAGAAACTTTTTACCACTTTACCCTCAAAAACCTCATACGCATACCTTCCTTCTTCCCCTTCACTCTCCTCTCCTCCATCGCTTCCACCGCTCAACCGGCGTTCGGTGACGGCGACTTCCGATGGCCGCCGCTTCTCCGATGGCCGCCGCCGCCGCTTCTCCGATGGCCGCTGCTGCTTCTTACAGCAACTACATCACGAATTTGAAGGAACTCTTCAAATATYTTTCTTCTTATTTCATGCAAGTAAGGAATTATATTTTGATGGTGGTTTCGTACTCGATTTCGCCAACAACTTGATTAATTGAAGTACTTATTAGGGATTTTAATGAAGTATTATGATTTATTTCGAGAGTTTACATTGATTATCACTGGGGGTAAATTG